TACCCCAGTGACTGTATGAGGCTTTGGGGGGACAACTGGACACAAATCATAACACAAACTAAAATCATCAGATATGAGCTAGGTAGGGTGATCTGAGCACTCAGTAAGCTGAGGCAGGAGGATCACCATAGGTTCCAGGCCAGCCTGGGCTACACAGTGAGTTCAAAGCCAGCCTGAACTACATCAGAAGATACTGCCTGTCTCAAAAATAAATAAGTGCTTCCCAGTACAGTGCCTGCCTGGCAAAAGCAACTGCCTGAGTTTGATTCCTGGTACCAAAAATTAAATAATCAAAACAAAGACAGAAACAAACCCTTTCATAACAGAAGCACTATCAACCTTTTTTAATGTATCTTGGGAGTCTCTGGGCCATAAGAAGTAGCTATTCCTTCAGGTGTCTAATACAAAAATTGTAATTACTGACACCTTGCTATTCAGCAAAGTCCTATCCACCCACCAGGATTTCCTGGACATACAAGCTCTCAGACACTCTGGTTGTGACACGCCTCCCTACACAGCAGCACATATGCGTTCAGTCAAGCAAACAACACCCAAAGGACTCTAAGACAATGTAGTCCAACTGGGGTATATCCCATGTGCAGGAGAGGGTGACTTCCTCTATCCTCAGGCTCCTGCCAAAAGCCAGGGTGCTAGAGAAGATGGCACCTAATAGAAAAAAATAAAAAACTTCAAAGCAAAATAATAGGAAAGCTGGGTATGGTGGCACACACCTGTAACCTGAGCACTCAGGATGCTGAGGCAGTAGAATTGCCAAAAGTTTGAGACTAGCTTAGGCTAAAGTGTGAGTTCAAGGCCAGCCTGAACTACCTAGTCAGATCCCGTGTCAAAAAAAAAAAAAAAAAAAAGGAGACTAACAGTCAATACATCGTATATTGTTATCTTCAAAGTAATTACTCAGAGTACAAAATATGGGCATATCCTAGACTTCTTAACCACTTAGAGTTAACTGAATGGACAACACCGGCTGTGTTTGCACTATCCAAAGGGCCCCTCTGCACAGCATACAAAATGGAGCTTACTGAAACCCTGTTGCTTTCCTTTAGCCAGGATATCCCTAGTAAAAGACAGGACCCAAACTTTTGGTCAAACATCAGGCAGTCACTTTAGCTATTAATGTCCTGGTTCTGTCTCTACACTTATCATGAACTCCAAAGCTATCATCACAAATTGTTTCCTTTGAAGTAAAAAACAAAACAGGCTGGGAAGATAGCTCATCGGTCAAAGCAACTGCCTGGCAAGAGCAGGGACTCAGGTTCCATCCTGGCACCCAGCCCCACACCATGCCAACCACCAAAACCCGCTTGTAATCCCTATGCTAGAGAGATTGAGATAAGAGGATCACTGAGTCCAAGCTGCATAGGAAGGCCCTCTATTAAATGAATAAATAAATAAAAAGATTAAAAAGAATCAGCTTCATGAGCCAGAGTGATAGCTCAGTAGAATAAGCACTTGCCTGGCAAGCACAAGGGCCTGAGTTCAATCCCTGGTACTGCAAAAAAAAAAAAAAAAAAAAAGCTGTAAGGGAGGGCCAGGGAGATAGCTCAGCGGCATCAGCAGCATAAGCATCTGCCTTGCAAGCTCAAGGTCCCAAGTTCAATCCTAGGTACCAAAAAAATAAATAAAACACATAAAGAGGGCCAGGCTTGATAGTACTGGCGTATAATGCCACCTGTCTGGAAAGCTGAAGCAGGAAGATCTCAAGTTTGAGCCTAACCTGGGAAACTCATACTCTGTCTCAATGTGTGTGTGTGTGCAGTACCAGGGATCTGTACCAGGGACTGAAATCGGGACCTTTCACTTGCCAGGCAGGTGCTTAGGCCGCTGAGTTATACCCCCATCACTGTCTCAAAATTTTAAAAAAGGGTTGAGGATATAGTTCAATGCGAAAGAATTGGGTTCAATTGCTATTAAAGGGAAGAACATATAAACCTTAGCTGACACAGGAACCAAGAACTAGGAACCGTGACGTCACTTCCGCTTCCAACCATTCGAAAAGCATACTTTTTCACGTTGTGGAGAATTTTACTTTATTACATAGGCTAAATATTCATAACTTTTTTTTTTCCTACTTTAAGAGTTGCATTTCCTGCCATTTAAAGCTGAGTTATCATGCCTGTAACTCTATACCCTTCCAACGTTCCATTAAAAACAAAATTCATAAACGGTATGGTGGCACATGCCGGTAATCCCAGCACGCAAGAAAGTGAGGCAGGAAGAATCCCTGCCAGCTGGAGGCCAGCCTGGGCTACAAAGTGAGCTCAAGGCCAGTCTCAACTACACAGTGAAACCCTGTCTCAAGACATTACAAAGCATTCACAGTTTCTTTCTCTGGAATAAGAGAAATCAGTATTTTTTTTTTTTTTAATAGCACCAAGGCAGACTTTCTTTCCAACAGGGTGAGCGCTGGCCCAGGAGGCTGCGACAAGGAGGACGGCTGAGTGTTCTGTCTCCCCGAATGACTTGCAGTCTACACACAAGTGCATTCCCAAAGATATGCGCACCCTGTAACCTACGAAGTAGCTTCTTTCTCCCTAAATGTAAGGTGTCGAAAACGCAGTCCTTCTCCACGATGAAGGCAGTCATTATATACTACACGCACGTACTAATAAAAACATTTTTTTTAATGAAAATAAATACATGGCGTGAACAAAGAAAGCCCGCGCGGTCGCGCCCGCAGCGCCTGCTCCGCGCGGACCAGGACTTTGGTGCAGTCTCCGCGACCCCAACCCCGGAAATTCTTTGCCTTCTGGGGAAAAAAAAAAAAAAAAAATCCAGAGACGCTCTGAAGACGCCTGAAAAGGCAGTCGCCGGCTGCAAAGCCCCGGAAGCGCCCCCTCGACCAACCCCGAGACGGACGGACGGACGGACCTCGGCAGCGACGGCCCGGCGGCCCCTGGACCGGCTCCCCCTCGAGGCTGCGTGGTGTTCCTGGACACACTCGGACGCCCACCGCCCCTCCTGACGCTGGCAGGGCCCCAACCTGACCTCACAAGAGTCTCGGGGAGCTCAGCAACCGTGGAGGAAGAAATTTGACAACCAGCCGCCAGACTGGAAGAGACAGCGTCGTGTGACGTCACTTCCGCCTTCAACCATTTGTCCAGGGCCATGGGATGAGGTTCTCTGTGGCTCTGGCCTCAGTTTATATTTCTTCGAAGGGAACCCTCCTAAACACTAACCCTGGTGCTGGACAGTGAACCCATAACCTTCAACTGAGGCTGAAGCCGTATTGCTGTGAATTTGAGGTCAGCAGAGAGTTCAAGTACAGCCTTAACTATATGACTCGACCCTGTCTTAAGAAGTAACAAAATTGTAAGATGGAGAAAATAATATAGGATACATATCATTTACCTTACCTAGCCACCCCAGTGCTTGCGCAATGGGCCCAGTAATAAAACATAAGGACAAGGGAGAAAGCTATAGTGCATACTTGCCCTCATCAAGGCTGATATACTACTACTACTACTACTACTCTAGTGTGCCTAACTTGCTAAAAGCAGAAATCAACACTGAGCATCCCGGTAGCACCATTCAAATAATCTACTAGACGAGGGAGCTGTCCTGCTGCCAAGTTTATTACTTAGGGCCCATCTCATCAGGAGGGTGACTAAAGATTGCTCCTCACTGAAATAAACTCATGCTCTGCATGCACATTGGCTTTTGCTCAACTATGCTTCCGCTGGCACCATATATGGTGCATTTAAAATGTTTTGCCTGTAGGCGTGGCATTCATGTGGCACTTTCTCAAGGAACCCTTTTTACTGCAAAGTACAGAAGTAGGCAGGTGTCCCTGCAATCAAATGGACTTATCATGCATCCATGAATCCCACTACTCACAAGTACATGACTTCAATGAAAGGGGAGTAGCTTACACTGCAAAATGATAGGCCATGTACTCATTTCATATACCACTAAATCAAGAAGTGGGGAAGGAGGATGGAGTGGGTGGGGGTTCTACTGCTTGGAGCAATTGATCTCAAGGACCGAAAAAACAAGTGTGGTGGTGCATGCCTGTAATCCCAGCACTCAGGAGACTGAGGCACAATGACTGCTGCAAGATCAAGGCCAGCCTAGGCTACATCCTGAGTTCAAGGCCAGCCTGAACTGCCTAGTTAGACCTTGTCTCAAACAAATCAAAGAACCAAAGGAAACTTGGGGTACAGCTATATACTTGAGGCAAAGAGAGTAATGTCTGCTGGGCACAAAGCTGTCTATGTCAGTTATCTTAGGACAAGGTCACTGTTTCTCATGAGTTTGGCAAGGCCTCATAAGAAGTGTATGCAGTTCACGGAGCTAACACACACAGTGACTTGCCCTGCCTCCGTAGACAACTCCTCTCTTGTTCCCCAAGGTATGTTTTGCTAAAGATTTTATGTTCTTCCTGTTTCGGATCTTACCCTTCCCTTAAAATTCTCTGTAAACAGCCTTTTCTGCTGATTGCATAAGTAAATGTGCTGCAGTTGTTGAGCAGTCCTTTCTCCCACCAGGTGAGGCTCCACCTGACCTCAGCTCTCCGACTATTGACTTCATTCTTTTATCCTCCACCATCTTCCCTCCAGAATTTCAAAAGCTGCACTGAATGCAGCAAATATCTAAAGTACAACTGAAAGCGGCACAACTACTGATAACATGAAGGTCTGGGACACTCTAACAGGTATTCAACCATGGCTGCTTATATGCATATTTTTATAAACTAAACATACACTTCTCCTGTAACCCCAGCACTTAGGAGGCCAAGGCGGGAGGATCGTTGCAAATTTGAGACCAGCCTGGGCTACAATGTGAGCTCAAGGTCAGCCTGAACTGCAGAGCCAGATCCTGTCTCAAAACAAAACACACACACTTCTTCCCATATCTATTTTGTATACAACAGCCATTATAATTTAGTTAACATAGGTAATAACACTGTGAAAATGTCATATTTGGAAAGAAATGCATATGGCCTATGGTAAGAAACTGCACTAGCTCACCAAGGGCAGAACTTCTCTTGAATCGTGTTGGGTAGAAATGTAACAAAAGGGAACTGAAATCCTCTTGTGGCTGGGTGCTTATGCATGACAGACTGTACACTGTCAGTTATCAACTTATTAATCTTGATTCTAAATTTACCTTCAAGGGAGCTGGGGAGATGGCTCAGTAGAATAAGCACTTGCCTGACAAGCACAAGGGTCTGAGTTCAATTCCCGGTTCTGCCAAATTAAATTTTACCTTCAATCCCTGCTCTAAAATAAAGATTTGGTTTCCTTAAGGATTTTTTTTTTTTAAAGTAAGTTCATTTATTACCATCCACAGATGAAGAAATGGAGTTTTTGTTTTTGTAAATGTTACTGGGACTTTTTGCCATTTTGGATGTTTTATTGAACAAGTCTTGCAATATAGTTTAGGCTGAGTTTGAACTCACTGTATATCCCAGGCTAGCCTCCAACTTACGAGTCTCTTGCCTTAGCCTCCTGACTGCTGGGATGACAGGCATGCACCAGACTCCCGTGGTTAACTTGAGTACAAGGTCACTTATCAGTTATGTGGTCGAGACACAACAGGAACTGGCTTCAGAGTTCAAGTCGGTTTGTTTTTCGCTTTTTGTGACAGCATCATGATGTAGTCAGGTAGTGCAGTTTAGACTGGTCATGAACTCCGAGAGATCATGCTGCTTCCACCTCAGAAGTGCAGGGATTAAGGTGTGCATTACCAAACCAAACCTAGCTCCACAATTTGTTGCACACTATATTGCACCACTAAGGAACGTGGGGATACCTTGCATCTGTCCTGAATATTAGCGCATATTAATACATAATTATCTTGTCATATTTACACGCATATTTTTCATCATTTCCACCCTTCCTGTCACACTCTTGCCCTTTTCCCCCTTTCCCATTTCCCTTCTGAGTCTATTTTTGAGTATTTAACCATGCCTATTTTAAGCTGTTGGGTGTAATGAAGCACCAAGGGGTACAATGCAAAGGGCATGCCCCTGCTGCATCCAGCTTTACAGGGTAGACTGCAGGGGTACCTGTCATAGCCAGCCCATCTCATGTCCCAGAACACAGGGCCCACAGGAGATGTAGAAGCCTGGAGGCCCTCCTATGCGTAACACAACTTAAAAGCCCACAAAGGGAGAGGCCCTGACAAGAAATGACCAAGCTCCCTAGCTTGCTTCCCAGCCCTTCTGGCTAGACTTTTCTAGGACGTCTGGCGAATGTTGACACAACCACCTCAGTACACCTGCCCACCTTAAGCCTTCATTGAAATGCTTACCATTACTTTCCCAAGGTAGACACTGCCATTCAAACCTTCATTTTTGTTGACACAGGGTCCCACTATGTAACCCAAGTCGGCCTCAAACTTGCATCAATCCTCCTGCCTCAGCTCCTGGGTGCCGGGATCACGGGCCCATGCGAACATGCACAGCTAAGGCTTTATAAATGGTAGTAATAGCCAAACTCCCTCTGCTCACTGGCCTATCAGATGCAATTTTTCTATACATTGGGGCCTTGTTTCATGTTTGTCTGATTGTATAATTCAGGTCCAGTCTGTGGAAAATCTCAACTTCTCCACCCAGTCAGTGTGTTAGAACAGGTGTCTACCAGCCTCAAAGTACCACAAGATTTTTACTTCCAGAGATTCATACTTGAGCATAATACCTGTAACTTACTTCTAGAGTATGGGAAACATGGAGGAATTTTGTCATTGTAATTATGGTTCCAACCAAGTTACTACAGGGCAAGAATATGGTCAGTCTGACTTCAACAGGTCCATGTCTCCGGTTTTGAAACAGGTTCTTGCTGTGTAGTAGCTCCTGTCTCAGCCTCCTGAGTCTGGGATAACAGGCATGCACAACACCTGGTAACCAAGAGCATATCTTTTAAAGAGGTTGGTAGGCCTTCTTGACACCCAGCTAGCTACATAAAGAGGCCACGGAGTAGGAATCACGGGAATTCTCTATGTGAGGTCAGTCTCCAACAGAGAGCAACAACTCTACAGGTGCAAGGAAGGGAACATGGATCCAATAATGAGGGTGCAAACCTCTTCTTTCCTAGGTAAGCCATGAGACAGGAAACCCATCCAATGCCTTGACTGCAGGGATATTAGGTCATAAACAGATAAAGAAAATACATGTAATCAGTTTTTTTAAAAGTAAAACTGGAAAATTTGATCATTACTTCATTACTTGAAAATGAGTCCATATCTGGGTCTGATTCAAATGGGTAAAATACATTTTATTTGAGTGCTGGGTCCCAAGACCTTACACAGGCAGCTATCTGTGTCACATTTCATATGCACCGTGCCAAACCTAAAGAGCTACGGCTGTTACCTGTGCAATGATTAAAAAAAAAAAAAAAAAAAAAAAAAACAGTGAATAATTGAAGTTAAAAAGTTAAAGTAACAGACATCTCAACAAATTCCCCACAAAATAATCCCCTTACACCTTACTTCATACACACTGATTCCATCCATAATCCTTGCCATTTTCTGGAAGCAGCTCTCAAGTTTTCTTTTGTATCTTCAGTTGCACTATCATGGCTGTCTGTGTCCTGAATTAATTCACAACAATGACCTTTCAAGGCATTTTGACTTTTGAGGAGCCCGAGGTCACCCAGTGCCAGGTCTGTCAAGTAAAGTGGATGAGGTTTTACAAGCATGCCTTTCCTTGATGGCACTCAGCAGCGCCTTTACCGTTTTTTTAATCATACTTTATAGACACACACTAAAAAAGGACTTCGGAACTGCCCTAGAAGGTGGCAAGTGTGTTTCAAGGGGAACATGGGAGTTGAGTTTATTTTAACCACAATACAGGCCTTAACATTCACTGTGTTTTTTTTTTTCTAATTTCACCTACACTTCTTGATATTCATCTTAGAAATATTTTGAGCTTAGCATCAAAAGCAAAAATAAACAACTAGCACTCAAACACAAAAGACTTTGTGAGAAATGCAAAGAGAAAAAACCTCAGAAAGTGGAATGGCAATGTAAACAATGAGAAAATAAATTTTAGACCATAGATGTGATAATGTGCTGACATGTAAAATATACAAGAAGCCAGACGTGGCACACACCTGTAATCCTAGCACTCAGGAGGTTGAGCCAGGAAGGATCACTGTGAGTTTAAGACCAGCCTGGGCTACAAAGTGAGCGCAAGGCCAGCCTGAACTGCACAGTGAGACTCTGTCTCATAAATGAGAAAAATAAAGTAAAACAAAATAAAATAAAAATGTATGGTACAATTCCACAGTAAAAAAAATCAAACATGCAAATTTTAAATTAGAAGACAGGCAACAGTGATGATGGCAGAGAAAATGAAACCCATGTTCATTACTGGTAGGAAAATAAACTAATACAGTGCTACACAAAAGCGTGTATTTTTCATAAAATCAAATAGATGGACCATACATCACATCAAACCAACCTCTGGGCTTATATCCCCCAAATGAAGTCGCTAACTCAGAGACAGTCAGTATAGTGGCACACATCTGTAAATGCAGCACTCAAGAGGTTGAGGCAGGATTGGCAGATTGCCTTGAGTTTAAGGCCAGCCTTGCTACTAGATAGTAAGACCCTATCTCAAGCATGGTAATAACAATAAGTTTGTCTTCTGGATGGTTAACAACCTAAGTTTGCAGACCAAAATTAGAGAAAAAGGAGGGCTGCAAGGAAAGCCAACATTACGGCCCTAGCCTTCCAAGATCAATTAAGACTCAGGACACATAAGAACTTATACTGTAATGTCATGTAACTCAGCAGTGTCCCAAATTTTCTGATTAAGGAGATTATGGGGCCAGAGAGGAAAGTGATCGATGATGTAGAGTGTGCCTAAAGAGAGTCACATGGAGAGAAAACACTCTCTCAGGCTTTCACAGAGAGCACACTGGCCAAGCAATGGCCATGACTCATCCACTTGGCTGACACTGACAAAAGATCTACAATCTGAGGTATAGGATCTCAGGATAAATCCTGAGGGGATTTCACTGACCTTATCAGACCCAAAAGCTTCAACTCTTTGTTGCATAGGTCCTGCTTTACCTTGGTCTTAACCATCCAGAAGAAAAGTATAAAAACGAAGTATAAGAAGTAAAGCCATGCTGTTATGTTGAGATGTAGGGGACTCAGGTCAACATTTTCTGACACTGACAGTCAAGTGGAAGACCCAATACTATTATGGGCTACTGGACTCTTTTAGAATATTTTGCTGAGTTAACACACCTATAATATTCAAATAACGGAACTTAACAAAAAAAGGATATACAGATGAATGTCCATTTTGTATCTGTGTATTCAAAGTGGTTAGGATAGATATATAGTTACATTCTCTTAATGGAGTGATTTGTTCTAATGGTGTTTGTAAATAGGATATCATGTCCGCATCTTGTACAGCAATTAACCACTAGGAAGAATGTAAGCAATGTGTTAATTATTGAAACTGTCCTACCAATTTGATTTGAAACTGTCTCATTGCTATTTGTTTATCAATAAAATTATGGGGGAAAAAAACAATTACATATTAGCAGAAAAGTGTAGAAATGAGGTATGAAAAGTAAATCCATATTAACATGCTGAGCTCTAAAGGGCTCAAGTCAACTTCTGACACTGTCAGTCTTACGGATAACCCACTACAATTATGAACTACTGGACTATATTGGAAGATTTTGCTGAATTCACGCACCTGTAATATTTGGATGGCAATGGAATACTCTTCTCTGATAAAACTACAGAATAAAAGGAGATATAAATGAAGGACCATTTTGTATCTGTATGTACAAAATAGGATAGATATACAGCTACTTTCTCTTAATTAAATGAATATAAAGATTTGTACTAATAGTGTTTGGACAGGATATCATGTCTGCATCTTGTGCTATGAATGATTACTACAAAGACAACAATATGCAATGTATTAATCATTTTAACTCTCCTACCAATCTGTTTTGAAAATGTCTCACTGCAATTTTTTCTCAATAAAATTAATTTAAAAAAACAAACAAAAAAAGACTCTATCTCAAAAACAAGCAAAAACCAAAAAACCCACTTGCTCACAGACAAATTTATGTTCACTGCAGCAATACTCATCATAGCCCTCAAGAGACAAATGATACAACTAGGCATGGTGGCACACTCCTGTGATCACAGGATGTGCAAGGCTGAGGCATGGAGATCACTGAGAGTCTAAGGCAAGCCTGGGCTACACAGCGAAAACATTTTTTTTTTTTTTTTTTTTGGCGGAACCGGGGATTGAACTCTCTTGCACTTGCCAGGGAAGCACTTATTCTACTGAGCCATCTCCCCAGCCCCATAACACATTCTTGAAGCTCAAGACAGTGAAGTGTTTCCATGACACAACAAATAAAAGCTTAACTATGTGAGATGAGGGACAGATATAGTGGGTTTATCATTCTCATTATTTAATAATGCAGACATCAGACCCTAAATATAAAAGATAATTTTCAATCACATTAAACATATATATTAAGAAACACTACAGTGGAAATTAGAAACTTATACCTGAAGTCATAAAAGTACAAATGCTGAAATATGTAAAATTTACCTACTAAAGAACCATCCAGAAAGCCATGACTGTTATTTAAGATTTTAGGACATAAAGCAGATCCCATATCACGTAATATAGTTTCTGTTCAGCTCAGAACACCATTTAGTCAAAGTTAAAACAACAAAGTGATTTTCCAACATTTCTACCTTTCATCTAATTTTTCTCCACTGTGAAATTAAACTACTTGCCAGAACAGCTCTTCCAAATCAACCCATTTGCTCTACGGGAACTCTTCACATATTTATTAAGACTCAAGGAAATACAAAAGGTTTGCATGTTTCTTATTCTATATAGCTTTAAAGTCAATTCTTTCAATGATGCTCCCATGTCCCTTAAATTCATGGAGAATCTCAAGTTCTTCCAAGCCACGTTATGAATGTTCACATTGCATATACTTGTAAGATTTCTTGGGGCTGAATTGTAATTGCTAAGGATCAAGGATTTCCAAAACATTTTCTGAATTCTTCACATTCAAAGCATTTCTCTCTAAAGAGTTTTTATCTTCATTACTGTCAGGACTTACATTATCATCAGGACTAGTTAAGGTTTCCCCACATTCTTTATATTCATATGGTGCTGCTCCAAACGATGCAGGTGTCTCTCCAAATGGTGCAGGCGTCTCTCGAAATGGTGTGGGCGTCTCTCCATACGGTGTCTCTCCAGTGTGTTTCCGTAAATGTTTATTAAGGCCCGAGTGCTCAGTAAAGGCTTTTCCACAATACTTACATACATAAGGTTTCTCTCCAGTGTGAATTCTCATGTGAACACGAAGGTAAGAGGACCATAAAAATGATTTGCCACATATCATACACTGAAAAGGCTTCTCCCCAGTATGCGTTCGCATGTGAATAGGAAGGTAAGAAGAACAAGTAAATGTCTTTCCACACACTGTACACTGAAAAGGCTTCTCTCCAGTGTGAATCTTCAAATGTACGTTAAGATACGAGGATGATGCAAAGGCTTTCCCACAGTGGTCACATTCAAAGGGCTTCTCACCTTTGTGACTTCGTACATGTGCAATGAGGCCTGAGGAAGTAGTGAAGGCTTTCCCACATTCCTGGCATGCATAGGACTTCTCACCAGTGTGATTTCGTAAATGTATAGTAAGGCCTGAGCGTGCAGTGAAGTCTTTCCCACAGTAAGTACATTTATATGGTTTTACTCCAGTGTGAATTCGAAAGTGGGTCTCAAGGGATGAGGAATTCCTAAAAGATTTTGTGCATAGCTTACATTTGAAGGGCCTCTCACTGCTATGAGTTTTTATGTGTACTGTAAGTTGAGCAAAGCTAGTGAAGCCTTTTCCACATTCCTTACATTCATATGGCCTCTCCCCAGTATGTGTCCTAACATGCTTAGTAAGACATGAGCGCTCAGGGAAGGTTTTCCCACATTCCGTGCATTCATAGGGTTTCTCACCAGTGTGAGTTCGCATGTGAATGCGAAGGTAGGAAGAACGGGAAAATGCTTTCTCACACAGGTTACACTGAAAGGGTTTCTCTCCAGTGTGAGATCTCAAATGTGCAACAAGAGATGAGGAATAAGCCAAGGCTTTCCCACATTTGTAACATTCAAAGGGCTTCTCCCCTGTATGAATTCTTATATGTTCAACAAGCGCTGAGGATGTACTGAATGCTTTCCCACACTCCTTACAGTCATAGGGTTTCTCACCATTGTGAATGAGGACATGCTTAGTAAGGCCTGATCGGGCAGTAAAGTCCTTCCCACAGAAATTACATTTATAAGGTTTTATTCCAGTGTGAATTCGAAAGTGAGTCTTAAGGCATGACGAATTCCTAAAGGTTCTTGCACATACCTTACACTGAAAGGGCTTCTCACCAGTGTGAGTTTTTGTGTGCTCAGTAAGTTGAGCAAAGCTGGTGAAGGCTTTTTCACATAAAGTACATGCATAGGGTTTCTCACCGGTATGTTTTCGTAAGTGAATGGTGAGCCATGAGCGTCCACTGAAGGCTTTCCCACATACTTTACATTCATAGGGTTTTTCCCCAGTGTGAGTTCGTATGTGTCCAAGAAGGTAAGAGGATCGCGTAAATGCTTTCCCACAGACATTACACTCGAAGGGCTTCTCTCCAGTGTGGGTTCTCAAATGTGTGGTAAGATAAGAGGAAGAAGCAAAGGCATTCCCACAATGGTCACACTGAAAAGGTTTCTCTCCTGTGTGACATCTCATATGTTCAGTAAGGCGTGACGGTTGAATGAAGGCTTTCCCACATTCCTTGCATTCATAGGACTTCTCCCGAGTGTGTTGTCTTAGATGTACAATTAAGCTGGAGCGCTGCGTGAAGGCTTTCCCACATTCTTGACATTTATATGGTTTCTCAACAGGGTGATTCTGCATATGAATATTAAGGTAAGCCGGGTGTGTGAAGAATTTCCCACATTTCTTACATTCATAGAAATTTTTCTCAGTAGGCATTTGAGCATAACTATCACCATTTGTAGGGACAGTAAAAGCTTTCCCACACTGTTCCATTTCAGAGAGGTTTTCTCCACTGTGAGTTTTCATATGGCTCTGAAGCTGTGACTGATTAACAAAGGCTTTCCCAGAGTCACTGCCCTCAGAGGATTTATCTTGAGTAGAAGTTGTTTGGAAAGTATCTAGAAACACAGTGGAGGACTCTGCACCCTGCTGGTTCAACAAAGAAATCTTCTCTTCACAAGTTTTCACCACCAGTGGAAGGAAGTCTTTTTCACACTGATTATACTCTGAAGTGCCCTCTGTATTCAGAGTACTTATGTGTGCCTGAAGGCGGGTGTGTTCACTGAAGACTTTTCCAGAGTGCTGAGGGTCACAGAGCTCCCCTCTACTGTGGCTTCCTACCTGCTGATAAAGCGAAGAGTAAGAATTACAGATTTTTCAAATTTATGTGGGAATGTGTGCTTGTGGAAACTCAGCACCAAGTTTCATGGTGGGACTTATCTCTAAGGACAATAGCCTCAGAAGTTGAAAGTTCCTTAAATATCTCATTTGTGTTGACAGAATTCCTAATCTTTCCTCATTATTTTTGAGACAGGTTCTCACTGTGTAGTTCAGACTGCCCTTGAACTTATCATGTAGCCCAGGCTGTCCCTGAACTCACAGAAACCCTCCTGCCCAGCCTCACAAGCCCTAGGATTGAAAGTGTGTACCACGAAGCCCAACAGTATTCCCTCAGAAATATCGGATTGACTCTTTACCTGTTGTATCCTGTTTGATGTATCTGACCAGAAAATATCATTCTCAAGTGCTGCACTTTTGGTTTTAAGGTGCATTTCCCATTCTGAAGTGAAACAAGAAAACATGTTGTAAGGGTTTCCACAATTTGAGAGGTTAAATTAAAATGCATGTTTATTAATAATTTTTTTCTAAAAAATTTGAAATTTGACAATGATTAGAAACAATCAAATCAGGAAAGAAAAGACATAGCCACACAAATATAGGAACTATAAACTCAAAGAGGAATATAACCAACTCATTAGTATGACCGTAAGACTGAGACAAAATAATAGCATATGGAAGTTAAAAATATCCAAAACCATCGAGTCCAAGGACCTCAGCCTTCATATTCAGAGCAGTCTTTTAAATTTTCCCATTATAATTCCAACTATGTTGAATTAATCAATAACATTTTTTATTAACACTCACCTTTGAGAAAGCCTTGCTCCACTATGGTCAACTCTACTTCCTCCTCCAACCAAGAAATCAGACTGGGTTTCAACAGCTGATGTCCTACACACAGGAAAAGACACATTCAAATTAGACTAGGCTCAAGTAAGACATGATAAACCTTCCCATGATAGAAAACTTTTTTGTTTGTGACAGGGTCTTGCCACGTAATACAGGCTAGCCTCAGACTCACAGTAATCCTCCTGTCTCTGACTTAGTGCTAGAGCTATATCCTCCTCAACAGAGTGGGACTTTTTTTTTTTTTTTTTTTTTTCTTCTCAGTACTGGAGATCGAGATCGAACTCAGGACCTTACGCTTGCCAGGCAGGAGTTTATGCTGCCGAGCTTGACTTAGTGCTAGGATTATAGGTACATGCCACAAACCCAGCTGAAAATTATGTTTTTGATGAAAGTATTAAAATTACTTCTACAATAGCTAAAAAAATAAGTAATCATATTTTGGGTATATTGAAATTTGTTTTTCATAATGCCTAAAATCATCAGGCTTATGCACACATTAAAAAACCTATAAAGGAGCTTAATATTCTCATACTTCAAGCATTTAATAAATGGTCTACGTTCTCTGAAAAAGAACTCCATTAAAATATCTCTTCAAGTAAAACATGTAAAGCACAGGAAGTTCTCATAAGGAAACATCACAATAATGGTTCTCATCTTTACAGTGAAACAGGTTCATATGAAAGGGTTAAGACAGATAAAAGACAGAATCTCAAAATGTATATTTCTACTAGAAGGATGGTGATGCTACTGATTCTAGGAGCACAATTAGTTGAGAACCACCATGGTACATTAAGTCAAGTTCAGAGAGAGCATATTCCTTATTTCCTACTATATCTGAGCTGACATCCCTAATCCTGGAATAGTTAAGTACGTTCTCTAAGAGGATACAAGAAATGGTGGCAGTCTTACCTACTGTGGACAGGTTCTGGTAGTTCTCCAGCATCACATCTTTGTAAAGATTTCTCTGAGTTGGGTCCAAAGAAGTCCACTCCTCCTTGGTGAAGTCTACAGCCACATCCTCAAAGGTCACAGAGTCCTAAATCATCACAGAAACTGTAGGTTGGACCAAGTAATATCACCCTCCACCAACGTACACAGGTGAGTGAAGAAATGACGCCAATGCCTATGAGGATTCTGAAGAGTCCCACATTCTATCCCAGGGTTCTGCTCCCAGTTTTACGCCTTTTGGCACCTCTTGCATGTGAACTTATCTCACCACAATGAGACTCACAGCTCTTTGCATACTAGTTCCTAAATAGCACATTCCTGGGCATGTTACAAAGACCTGCTAAAGTGTGACATATAAATATAATCATGTGAGAAAAGACAGTGTCACCTTCCTTGCCATCTGTCAGAATATTCAAAAATAAATACCTAAATATCACCTAGAAAGTAAAGATTCACATGACGGTAATCCTTCACCTATAAGAGAGCCCTATCTTCTGGGGAAATTCAATTAGGGGCTGAGTGTTGCTATAGATGCTTTTTTGCTTTAAGAAGCGCTGGCAGCAGATTCACTTAAAAAGAAACATGTCTTCCTACTTGATTGAATTATGCTATTTTGAGGAAGGGTAACAAGCTTGACAAACTGTACATATCCTTACATTCATCATTATCAAAATATATGTTCAAGGGCCGGCCAAACAGCTCAGCAGATTAAAGCATCTGCAAGCAGGCACAGGGGCTGGAGGTTTGATCCCCAGGCCTGCCTCGTCAGCCCCACCCCTGGGACGCACTGAGATGGCAACTGAGACTGGGCGTGGTGGCGCACACCTATAATCCCAGCTCTTGGGAGGCTGTAAGCAGGTGGATCACAAGTCTGATCTAGTAGCAAGACCCTGCACACCCTGTAGACCTTTTCCTAAAATACCAAAAAATAAAAAAAATTAAAATTCAGAGCTATTGTTCCCTCACAGGTGAAACCTATTTACTCTCAAGGATTGGCCCACTTTTGATTTGCTGACACGGAATTCCCAATCTAGACTCAACACACAATGCAAAAAACAAACTTTACCAGCTGAATCCCTCCAGAAGTATGTTCAGTCAAAAAGTCCTGCTGAAGTGCTAAATCTCTGGTCTGTAACTGCATTTCTAACTCTGACAGAAACAAAAAAAGAAATGAGAAGAAAAATTAATTTAGGCTTAAAGAAGAGTAACATATTCAAGGAGTTGACCAACTTAGCAATATCCTGTCTCACAATAATTTTAATAAGGGTTGGAGGGGTAGCTAAGTGGCAGAGAAGTGCTGAGTTCAGCCCCAAGAAGTAGGATTCTTGAAAAAAATCTATTTGTTTTAAACATAAACATAGCCAGGTGTGGTGTTACCATGTTTATAATCCTAGGACTCAAGAGGCTGAGGCAGGAGGATCACTGTGAATTTGAGGCCAGCCTGAACTACACAATGAGAACCTATCTCCAAATGAATAGACTAGAATAATAAAATAAAATAAAAATAAACATAATGGAGTCAAAATAACTTTTACGACTTAAGAGTGAAAATTTAGCAATGACAAGGTCACAATTTTGTTAAATAGAGTCTGTGAAAATTAACACCATGATAAATAATAAATACAATATATGTTATTAGGGGCAAAAAACAAAAGTATTGGAACACTGAAAATAAACTGGGCACAGTAGTGCATAGCTCTATGATCCCAGCTAAATGGGAGGACAAAAAGGGAAGATCTATAAAGCTTGAAGCCAGCCCTGGAAACTCAGCAGGACACTGTTGCAAAACAAACACATAAACAAGAATGGGATTGTAGTTCAGTAGTAGAGCACTTGCCTCAAATAGGTGAGGCCTTAGCTTAATCCTCGATATCCCAAAAAGAAAAATGGAAAGAGGAAAGGAAAGAAAAGGAAAGAAATATGAAAATAATAAAGCTGAAGAAACACAGTATGACATTTCCTGAGATTATATAACATTGGAAAAGACAAAAAAAAGAACCAGAGGTAAAGAATTTCTAGGAGGCTCTATTATTGTCTGCATCTAGCTAGATGTCCTCACAGTGGACTTAAGTACTTATAGGTGGGGCTTTTGGAAGGGGGCTGGACCATGGATTAAGTATGATAAGTGATAACTAGGATTAACATTCTGATTGGTTTTAGCATAGTTCTAGGTGTGAACAGGAAGACCTGCCCTGGGTATGGGTGGCACCAACCAATGTTCCTACAGTATGAATGCAATATAAAGAAAAAGAAAGGCTATGTGCTTCCTGCCTACTCTACCATGGACTGTTCCTCCTCTGCCATACTGCCCTGCCTTAAAGCTAGCTGATCATGGACTGAAATCTCTACAAACTGTAAACTAAAAATGAACCTTAATCCCTTTAACTTGTGTCAGACTGTTTGTCCCAATAACAAGAAAGTAACTAAAAGACAAGTTCCCACTCTATACTCCAAACAAACTGAAGCTATCATCACAGTACTGGATTATTATTCACAAGCACTCACCTTGGAGAACTCCTTTCTGCCCTGTCACCAATTCTCCTTTCGAGTAAGACACGGGACTGTGTTTGATAGGTGTCTGACATCCTGCCCACAGCAAAGATACATTCATGAAGCAATGACAAAGCTTTCTATGATTTAGGTCTATAATCGACTGAAAACAATGAACTATCTCAAGCAGATTAAATTAGACAAGGCCTCATTGTGTGATCCCAAAATTGGTAATCTTTGACCCCAAACTCCTGATGCCATGATCACATTTACAAAGCTCTAACATTTTAATCAACTGGGGCGGGGGGGCGGGGAGAGTAAATCACAGAAACCTCTGTCAGGTAACAAACTAAACCAGTTGATTGGGAATGTAGTTTAGTAGCGGAGATCTTCCTAGCATGAGTCAGGGCCCAGGTCCCATTCCCAGTTCAACAGAAAAATAGACCAGTTACTCATAAATATTAGAGTGAGCCAGGTGTGGTAGCACACACCTGTAATCCTAGCACTCATGACATTGAGGCAGGAGGATTGCTGAGTTTCAGGCCAGCTGAGCTACATAGTGAATTCAAAACCATCCACATAACCAAAGATGATCAAAAATTTAAGCACAACCTGAGTAACAGCAACTTAGACTACACTTCAAAGTTAAAAGAAAAAAATTGCTTTTTGTTTTTTTAGGATTAGAGATGTAGCTCAGTACAAAAGCCCTGGGTTCAATACCCAGTGCCACAAGAAATTTTTAAGTTAAAAAAAAACATAAAAAAAAAAAAAAACCTGACAGATTAAAGTTTATTAGGGAAGAGATTACTTTTATTCACAGCTATCAGAGCTGACCACTTGGCTCCTGAACAAAGTAACTACATAAATGCACCTATTCTAGAGGAGGCTACAGGAAATTTGACAGTCGTACCTACTGTGGCCAGCTTCTGCAAGTTCTTCACCATTACATCACTATGTATGCTTCTCTGTGTTGGGTTCATTAAAGGTTCTTCCAGGTGGGTGCCATCTACAGCCACATCCTCAATGGTCCCTGAATCCTAAACAACATACATGCTGTCTTGAACCAAGTAATAAATATCTGCACCAAGTTTCAGCGTAAAGAAAGGGGGCACTCAATACCTATTGATGTGAATTCTCACTATCAATGCCAAGGTTCAGTGGCCCCCGAACTCTTCTCTGCACCCCCACTCTCTAATCTGCTCTGCTCACAGCTTCAATGCTACCAACGCCACATCTCAAACACAAACTCATCTCACAGTCATCCAATTACTTTTCCTTTGCACTGCATACATTTAATATATGGTAACAGATGAATGAAGTCTTCTGAGAAAACAGTACCTTCCTTTTATATACTTGAGAACACTGGGCATTGAAAGACAACACAATTGGTGCCATGAGATTCAAATTACTTGGTAATTACTAAAAAGCTGCAATAACTTTTAAGGCAATCAGTCACCAATGTGAAAGGCTTCACTTCCTGGAAAAATTCAACTAGAGACTCAGTCCTTGTGTTAGGCTTTCCTTTCTTTCAGAAGCCCTGCAGACAAGTCTGCCAATATGAAAATGTGCTTGCTTGGTAACTGTAATGTGAGTGTGTTGAATGAAATACAGGCTCCATACTTGATAATTTTTCACGGAGTCAGCCACTGTCCCTTCTGTCTCTATCCCTTCTTCGTGACTGTAGACTGGGTCCCCATAAAGTAGACCTCCTGGAAGAGAGTGAAGACATAACAACTCAGAGCTGACCAAAAGCCCATATTCACAGTATATAGACACCTTTCTATCCTACTTCCAAATCCCCACATAATCAGAAGAACTAAGATACAAAATCCTTAGGAACACAGTGCCACTTACACCCAAAAATGTGATGGCAAGCCATACAGTCAGGAAAGTACACTGGTCTCACTTCACAAGTAAGGAGATAAACTCTGAGATTATAATTTCCCCACGGCAACAGAACTCATGAATGTGATCATACAGTGCCTCTTCCCAGAGAAGCCACTCCAGGGGGCTGACCTCTGCACACAGCACTCTGGCGCTGCATTGCAGCGCCTCAGGAATGGACCCACAGCATGGCTATTCTAGCCCACACCACTGGGCTCTGTAGCATGCAGGGACGCCTAAAGCCAATTCTCTGGAAAACAACAACAGGACTTACCATGGGACAAGTTGGTAACATCCATCCTGTAAGTGTGATGATGAAGTACGTGTGATCACACCCTTCTGTGAGCCCAAGACACGTCAGGGCAGCGTAGGAATCTCAAGTGGACAGTGGCAGCAGCTATTCCTTTTTACACAGGGTTATAGAGACTCCTGTTGACACTCATTTAATCAAGAAGCTTTACTAGGGCTGGGGAGATGGAATTCAGTGGAATAAGCACTTCCCTGGCAAGCGCGAGGGCCTGAGTTCAATCCCCGGTTCCGCCAAAAAACAAAAACAAAACAAAAAGAAAAAGAAAAACAAAAGAAGCTTTACTTAGCAGTTTTCAAACAACATCAATTAGCTTTCTGCTGGCAACACATGAAACATCCCTAAAGTGGGACAAACCCTTTAACATCAGACAGTAATACTGCCATGTAATGAACAACACTCTGTACGGTCCATGATATTGACAGCTTATATATACATATATATAATTATGCATATACAATAGCTCCATTATATCCATTATCTTATTTGAATAATCCTTCACAGCAGATAATCACTATTTAGTGACAAAAAACAAACAAATAAACCCAGCTTGAGATTCCAATAATGAGGAAATAGAGAATCCAGATAAAGTATGCCTCTGAATCCTCAACAGTGGTTGTAAAGACATCAGAACCAACATGGACTCTGGAACTGACACCTGGGATACTTGAGTGTAATGTTCTACCGTTACAAGTAAGGTATTAAGAACCAGCATGCCGAGAATTTCCAAACACATCAGAATACATCTCGACCATGGGAATCTATCCCTGCAGGTGCTCAGGGCAGAAAGCACCAAAACGCCCAATACTTGCAGATCTGGTGAGTCTTCTCAGTGACACACCTTACACCCTTACTGATGGACTTGTCCCAGGAACTTCTGCTTCTACTTTTTATTTAACATCTAGTTTTCATATAAAGAAAATTTTAAAATGCAGTAAAGAGCACCACTGAAAGAATATATGATCTTCCAGACAGTCTTTGAAAATGTAGCCATAGGACAAAAATGAAAAAGAGTACAGAAACTTTATGTAATGTATAGGAAAGTAAAATAAAAACAGTGAATTCTCTCTTCATAAGACAGTAGAAAAAAGACAGTAAGGTAGAAATAGCACTTTAAAGTTAACTATTTATTTATTTATTTATTTATTGTGGCACAGTGATCAAACTCCAGACCTTGTATACGCCAGTCTGGCACTTATGCAGCTGAGCTGTCCCCCTGGCCCTTAAACAGCACTTTAAAAACCAAGGCTGGGTGAAGGTGCACACTTGTAATCCCACCTTTTTGTGGAGGCTAAGGCAGGAAGACCTGAATTTCAATGCCAGCTACACAATACACTTCTGAAAATAAAAAAATTAAAAGGTCTGGTTTGCAGGTCCGAATGAAGTCTTCCATTACATCTCCAGTACAGCAAGAAAAAACACAAAGAGGCATTCTCTGTGCCTTAGTTGCAAAGCCCTGGCCTACAAGAAAAGGCCCCACCAGAAGCCCCACCTTCCAACTCCAGTACTATAAAAGGTATAAAAAATTTCCCACATCTGTGAAAAGTAACAGTATATTTATACAGGAGATTTACAGTTCTCAAAAACAAAACAAAAATCAATCTTCACCGGAACAGAACAGTGTCACAGCCAGACATTCAAAAATAAAAAACAAGGCTAAGCATTAGAGCACATGCACAATACATGTGAATCTGTAAATTCGTTCACTAGTACCACAGGTAAAGAAAAACTCAAATGCAAGAAGAGCACCCTAAACGCAAGAGAAATCAGACTTCTACTAGAGAATTCACAGGACAGAGTGGGAGAATACATTACAGCTACATTCTAAAAGAGTAACAGTGGGCCAGGGAGATAGCTCAGCAGCATAAGCACCTGCACTGCAAGTGCAAGGTCCTGAGTTCAAACCCCAGTACCGCAAAAAAAAAAGTTATAGCTATCCTTCACATAACCTTCCAAAAATTAAAGAGAAAATACTTCCTAAACTCACTTTAAGAGGTCAGCAGTACTGTGTTATACTAAAGCCAGAGAAGGATGCTAAGGAAAAAAAAAAAAGAAAAAAAAATTATACATATATATATATATATATATATATATATATGAATTGGCCATGTGGCACACTCCATGGTCGCAGCACCCTCAGAGACTAAGACAGGAGGACCACTAATTCGAGGTCAGCTTTAATAAAGATGCAAAACACTTCACCAAAATTACTCTCAAATTCAATAGAACATTAAGGGGCCAGGGAGGTGGCTCAGCCGCACTGGCAAGCACAAAGTCCTGAGTCAGATCTCTGGCTGCATAAAAAAATTTTAGAAAGAACATTATAAGGATCATTCTCAGCCAGGGTTGGTGGTGTTCACCTGTAATCCTAGCTACTTGACAGGCTGAATTAGGAGAATCACAAATTCAAGGCCAGTCTGGGTAACTTACTGAGATCCTATCCCAAAAAAATAAAAAGGACTGGGAGGACTGGGGATGTAGCTCAGTGGTAGAGCATGCTAGCTTCAATCCCTAGCACCTATAAAAATAGCAACAACAAAATTTATAATGAAGTGAAATTTATCCTTAAGATGAGGCACAAATGCTGCATCTGAAACATCCAAAGGAGTTTTCAGCTTTAAAAAAAAAAAAGCTGGAGCTACACTATCTACGCAGTTTGACTATCAAAAGGCTGCAAAAGCTTAAGCACTAGAATAAAAACACAGTCCAGTGGCACAAAAAGAATACCCTAAATGACATTCCATGTCCACTCATTTGCAAAGCATCTACTGGATAAACAGCTTAATTTCAAAAAAGAATTACTGTGCATAGCCACTGTGGAAGATACTATGGAAGTTCCTCAAAAATTAAAAATAGAACTACCATGTACTACAGCAGTTCCTCTGAGTTTATGTCCATTCAACAGGATGTTACAGAGACATTAACACTACAGATGCTGCAGCACTAATCCAAATGGACAAAACACTTCAACAACCTATGTGCCACCAATAAAGAAAATCATACAAAAAATAAGGTATATGTGCTATTATTTAGCTAAAGAAGAAATTATGTCTTGTTCCAACATAGATGAACCTAGAGGACATTATGGCAAGCCAGACACAGAAAAAAAAAAGACCAATCAAGCCAGGCATAGTGGCACACACCTGTAATTCTAGCATTTAGGAGGCTGAGGCAAAAAAGGTCATTGTGAGTTCAAGACCAGCCTGGTCTACAAAGTGAGCTCAAACCCAGCCTGAACTGAGTAGGGAGACCCTGCCTTAAAAAAAGAAAAAGACCAATTGAGATCATCTGAGCAGAGTGTAAAATCTCACAGAAACAGTAAAATAATGGTTACCACTGCCTGAAAGTGAGTGCTTGAGAAATGTTGGTGAGAGGACCCAAAATGTGGGCAGGACAGGACGTTAACAGGTGTTGTACATTACAGTGACTGCTATTCACAGCAATACACTGAAAAGTTGATAAAAGCAGGTTTTTAATTTTTCTTAACCACACACAAAATAATGCATGATAAAGGCTGGACTTCCTCAGACCATGATTTAAACAGATATAAAACTGAACGTACACCATAAATATATGTAATATATGTAAACCACAACAAAACAAAACACCAGCATAACCAAACATGTCAGCCTAAGCCCTGCACTGGCAAAGGAACACATCCAACTCTCATCTACATGCCAAGCCTACCAGGAACTGAGCGCGAGGGCCCACTGGGAAGTTATTGGAGTGTCTTGGCATGAGAGTCGAACCCTTGGCTTGTCTGGGCTGCACTGAGTGAAGTGGTCTTGGGCCACACGTAGAAATATATAGTAAACATAGTTAAATATCAAACCTCTATTTTTTAATATTTAACTTACTAATATTAACTTACTAAATTACTTTGAACTAATTAAAAAACTTCATGAACACAGAAAGCCTAACTGTAATAATTAAAACCTACAGATCTGCTTAATGTAAATGTCTGTCTTCTAACACTCACATATGGGTAGGATGACATTCCCAGTGGTCACTGCCTTTCATTCACTAAACCACACAAGCACACGTAACTTAGTACACTGACACATGCACATTTCAGTTCAACTGCGTGTGGCAGAGGGAAGAGATGGAATCAGAACAAAGCATCCTGTTTTTACCTACATAGTCCTTGCTCAAACACACTGCTATTGAGCCACAAAAATTTTTTCTAAAAATGACAAGATAATGAACATTAAGAGTTTGATAGCGTGACATTATTTGCTGTCAAGAGCTGCATACAGCTCATGAGCCAGGGGTTGCACATACCTGGTCTAAAGGAACACAAAAAGGATTCTCAATGCTGTATGTGATTATCCACGTTTCACAGCCAGGGATGACAAGAAAAGAAATATGTGGCCAGACCAGCCTTACAACACTGCTGCACCTAACTGCAAGAGCCAGGTGCTTGGAAAGTGTGAAGATGCTCACATCAAGAAATGACACATTTGCCAATTAACAGGCACATACACGTCCGGGCCCTTTTTTATTCTTTATATGGTAACAGGTCTCACTAAGACACTGACACTATACTAGAACTTTGGATTCTTCTGTCTCAGTCCCCCAGAGTGCTACAATTATAGACATGTACTACCATGCCTAGCTGTGCAACATCGTCATACAAACTGGGGTGTCTAACACTTGTCCCTTGGGTTATATAAATGCTAAAGTTGAGTGGGAGATGTTAAAGCTGACCTAACCATCAGAGGTAAACTTTCAAAAACATGCCAAATAGTAAAATTCCATTATTAGAGTTTTAGAACCTAGCCCTCAAGGAGGTGACAGACAGGAAATCAGCCCTACCATCTCTGGATTGCAGGGAATCTTGGGACCAGGTTATGTCATGGAAAAACCTTTGCTTCCTGGCTCATTCCTTACGGGCTTTCTCCTATCTGTGCACATAGAGGAGGCAACGCTGAATAGCACAAGCCCCTCCTTCCCAGCTCACATTCAGTCAAAAGCCATCATCAGTCACTGAGTCCATCTAAGAAGACTTCATAGCTTGTTACAGAACAGGCAATGTTTCTTGCAGCTTTTTTTTTTTTTTTTTTTTTTTTTTTTTGCAGAACCAGGGATTGAACTCAGGTCCTTGTACTTGCCAGGCAAGCGCTTATTCAACTGAGCTATCTCCCTGGCCCTGCTTGCAGCTTTTAAATATGATTTAAAGTTGGTATGGAGGAACACACTGTAATCCCAGCACTCAGGAGGTC